TACAACTGTTTGGAAAGAGAAAACTTTTAAATTTAATTTTTAATTAATGAAATTAACTTTTAATGACTTGATTTGACAAACCTTTTGTTCTTGGGCTTGAGGTAGAGTCAAGTTGGGATATGGAAGAAAGCCCAGAATATAATGCCTATAGAGGTTTCTATTTGGGCTTTAAATGAGATTTTGAATCAGGAATGAGGGCACTCTTCTCACATTGTAACCTGAGCAATCCATTAATGGTTCTCCCATTCAAACTGGAATCGCCCAACACAAGTTGTTCGTGCATTCGTTAATTTATTGGAGATGAATACAAGAAGAGAAGGGGAAGATGAAGATGAAGATGAAAGCCAAGAATTTCAAGAAAAGAAGCTCACCTGTCACCGAAGAGGAAGATTCCAACTAAGAAAGAATGTGCCTTGATTAATTTCAGTACATCAATAGTGGAAGGATTAGAGAATACTCCCTAGGGAGTTAAACTTGGTAGCGATTCCCACAGACGGTGCCAATGATGTTACCAAAAATCGTACGTTTTGATCCCGAGGTTGACGATCGAGAACGAGCACGAACGATGTCTTCCGATACCTGAAACAAAGGCGTCGAGGTGTGTCTTGTCGCCCCTCCGATGCTTAAGTCAAAGAGAGAATTATCTGAAAAATTGTATATTGGAATATTATAAAAACATACTTAAATAATAAAGATGTGCACAATTTGTGTTAGGATAAAATTTGTAACGAAATAGGGGTTTGCACTTAAGTATGACTAGTATTCCTAGGCCCTAATGGACCCGACCTTGGAATTAACCCATTTGAAGTGGGCCAAGATCGGGCCTACTAGCCCGAGTTCGGGTCAAGTAGCTCGAGCTCGGACCTATCGATATTTTTTCCTCATCACTTATGAAATTTCCTTTTTAAAAATCGGGTGAATGAAAAGGTATTGATGAGTTTTTTTTACTATTCCCCCATTTGATTTACATTATCATCTCATTAAAATGAAAAATATGATCGTTATTCATCACATCAACATTTAAATTCAAATTTTATATCTCTTATGTGGACCCTAATAACGACTATATTTTTCATTCTCATTCTACAATAATTTGGCTCAAACAGGCCCTACATCTTATTTTCCTACAGTATTTGACTGATAACGCATTACAACCACTCAGATTGTTGTTAGAGATGGATACGGGAAGGATAATGTCGTTGAGCTTTGATGACTATTTTGCCCCCAAATGCAATTGGAATTGTACATCATTGCCCTCCACCAATTTTAACCCTACCACCACTAAACAATCAATTGACGGGTAGAAATGGAAAGAAAAAAAATTCCAAACTTCAGCTGACAGCCGAAAACGAGGTGACCTCATTTTTTTTCAGGGAAGTCATCCTTATTGTCTGACATGGGGGGCCCACACTAGTTGAAAAATGGTTTTAAAAATGAAAATGTTGTAAAGGCATGGTAAAACAACTCTTCTCACACGAGGACCCACCTCATTAAAAAAACCCCTCAAAATGTTTTATCACCCACCCTCCCTATCACTCAACTACTCTACCAAATCTTGTACTGATCTGGTAGAGTAGCACTGCTCTTTAAAAAATTCATAAAAAATGGGGGTTAAACACACGCTAAAATTTAGATTTTAATCTGTACCAAACAGGACCACCCTACCCATCTTCATCTTCTCCAATCACAAAAAGCAGGGCAGAAAAAATAGACCCAATCCAAGTTTCGAGCTCCGATTAGAAGTACATAGACATGGAGGCAAGTCCACTCATGAATTTCCCGAACAGAAAAGCTGGCAAATGCTTGTACTCATCGTAATTGCTTAAAGCTNTAATTGGTTGACATGGAGTTTGATACTCTATGTATTTTTCAATGCAAATGGGCGAGAAAATGTATTTTATTTTAAAATTGGCCACTCATGCCACAACACGTGGCACAATGTCAAACTTGATATCAAATGAAATGTACATATAGCATGATTAAATGATTTTTGGTTGGGGTGGTTCGAAATGGGGTGTGGGGTTGGAGGGTGGTGGCATGGCGGTGGGAGCCGTAGTCGTGGTCGTGGGTGTTGCAACGGCGTGTTGGTAGATGTGGATGTAGATCTTTTTTAGTTTTATTATTTTAATAGTTAATATTTATAAATATATAAATTTACCATTTAACCCCTTTCAATTTGGTGAAAATTGGTCAAGGTCCACTTGGCTTGGTCAATTGACGGTTTGATGGACGGATTCCATGCAGATGGACTCCAGGTTTATATTTATGAAAAGTCAGGGACATCCGCTGGTACAAATTGAAAGTTAAAATAAAGTCTGCAAAAATTGAAAAAGTTAGGGACTGTTGTTGTAATTTTCCCTAATTTCAAATTTCAAGACGTGTTGTTTGTAATAAAGGATTATGAGCTGGTTTGGCATGTCTTTTGCCTTTTTTAGGAGTTATTTTAATTTTTATTTGAAAACTTTTTCGAAAGTGCTTTTAGAAAAAATCACATTTGATTGATTTTATCTAAAAAAATTTCTAATTAACTAAACGTATTGAAAATAAAATTTTAGATCTCAAGAACTTCGTTTTGACTTTCCAAAAGCCATGTCAAACGAGTCATATATGTGTGCGTCGCTTGTCATAAATTCTTTAAAGAGACAAAACAGTTCCAACTACCGCAAATCAAATCACTCGAAAAAAGACAAGTAAACGTAACAAACATGAAGAGGCAAAGGAAACTGATCGAAATCTCAATCACAGTTCTACCATTGACAAACTCTCTTGAATTTCATTTCATTTATTTCCTCAGCTGGGTTCGGTAGTACTGTTTCATTGCATTTTCATGGGCACTTGGGCTTGCCCTTAGAGCTCCTCATATCCCTGTAGCAAGGGCACTGGTTCTTGTTCCCATACGTCCCAGACGGCACGCACTTGCACTTGGCGCAGCATATCCCACAATACTTGAGGCATCGATCCTTCACGCCAGCCAGGGCGCACCGAGCTTTGCACCTCTGTGTACAGTACACTGCACCAGAATTCCTATTTCATCAATCAAAATTCTAACAAATCTAAAATATATAGAAAATACATATACTTACAGGATTTGGCCATTGTGGGTTGAAGAAAAGAGTTGCTGAGCAGAAGAGAAAACAGCAGCAGAGAAGCAACAAAGAGATTTTTCATTTTTCTTTTTTTCCTTTTCTGCTTCAGAATTGATTTGTAAGATTGTTTTGATGGGTATTGTAGTATTTATTTATAGAGAGTTAGAGTTGGCTAGGCTGTGTTTGGCAAAGTGAAATTTTAATTAATTTCATTAAATGCTAAAATTTACACAGGAATTTTCATGCATGCAGCTGAACTAAAAAAATGTTTGAGAATTGAGATTTGATATTGCAAATGGTTTTGGGAATTAGGGAGAATGTTAGATCCAAGGTGGGCTTATTACTCCATAAAATATTTTCTTTTATTTCTTTTAACATTTTTCAAAAACTTGGGGCCAACAATAACGCACGTAACGAATGACATCGTCTGGATAAATTTGAAGGATTGTTTGGCAAAACTTTTGATAAAACTTTTAATAGATTTTGATGCAAGCTGATAAAAATTGTGAACCCCATAAATTTATAGTTAAAATTAATTATTTAATTTAATCCAACTTTTTATACTAACCAATCAAATACTTAGATATACCGTGTGCAACTCAAACTGCAATCTCAGAGTTCAATGAAAATCCTTTCTAGGAGCTATAGCATGTTTGACCAAAATGAAAAGAAAGTTGAAATTAGTTCCGCCAGTGTAATTTTTTAAAAGGGTAATTGGCGCAAAATATTCCTACCTTTCGTTCTTTGGCGCAGAACGTCTCTACCTTTCACATTCTTTGCGTTGAACGTCATTTTTACCAATTGTTAATATAAAATTACCATTATACCCTCCTATATAAATAAAACAAAAAAGAAAAGAATAAATTGCAATCTGCTCCTAAACTTTTTTAAAAATGCAAATCAGTCCAAAAAAGTGGTATTTTTTTTGCCTTTTTTCAGCCCAAATGCGTCCAAATTCCTGCAACCTCCGGACACCCAAGCCGCCGGACGTTGACACCGGTCAACAGCTCTCCAATTCCCCATTCAATTACCACCCAACCACTCCCAATTTCATCAACTGTAATGGTCGGAATTTGTACTGAAAGTTCACTGTCCTCAAATCTAAAAATCGTCGAAAATTACATTCTGGCCACCCCCATGATCGGAACTCACCCCCAATTTCATCAACTGTAGTGGTCGGAATTAATGCAGATTGCAATTTATTCTTTATTTTTCTTTTCTTTTTTGTTTTATTTATATAGGAGGGTATGTTGATCATTTTATATTAAAAATTAGTGAAAATGACGTTCAGTGCAAAGAATGTGAAAGGTAGGAACGTTCTGCGCCAAAAAACAAAAGGTAAAAACGTTTTCCACAAAAACCTTCAAAGATATGGACGTTTTGCGCCATTTACCCTTTTTTAAAATGTTCAAAAATAATTGTTTTCACTTTCATGTTAAAAAAAATGTACATTTTAAAGTAAAGGTTACCTTGCGGTTAAAATAAGTAATTTACTTGTACATAAAAAAAAATATTTATTTCAAAACATACGCGAACCTTTTAAGATTAGCCAACATGCTCGTCAAAACTAAAATTTCAAATTGAGCAGAAAAATTGAAGTAAATACAAAAGACATCCAAAGAACAATTCCGGTTCGATAAGTTTAATAAATAAAATCAATATCAGCAGAAACCAAACTGCTTGCCCCTGAACTTGAAAAAGACAGTGAAACATCATGAACAGACATACCAAACAATGATAACCTTACAATTATATATACAAACAAGGATATAGTGATGTATATAAGAAAAAATGTACAGACAAATATAAGCATGAAAAAATGTTCAACAGAATTTCTCCGGTAGAGCTTCCCTGGCTTAATTCTTTACTTGTATATCTTCAACATGTGTACGTTTACAATCGAGGTTCACTAAGTTAACCGCCGAGACCATTGATAATGTGAGGTTGCTGAGTGTTAGAATGTACTTTATAATGGTCACTCGATTCCAGAAGATTAACCTGCGAGTACGTTAAACTTGGTCACATATTCTGGAGAAAGGATTGGTACACTTTTGTTTGTCCCAAGAAAGAGAATCTGAGAAAATATTACCTTCACAATTTCCGAATTTGAGCTTGGACGTATATAAGCTGCCAAAATACTCAAGTTGAAATCCTGAGACGAGGACATGGCAAAGATTATAGGTAAGAAACGGAACGTAAATGATACCAAGAACGTATACCATAGATATGATAATTTGTATGAGAATTTTGTTGAAATCAAATTATGCAAACTTATCAACTGTGTGCACTAATCTCACCAACACTTGAATAAAAGAAATCTCAGTGACTTCCTATATGAACAATCAAGGAGGTTTGCTGAGAGTGATAAAAAGTTAATCCTTGAAACCAGCCTCCTTTTGCACTAATCAGAAATATCAAGCTAAAAGCATCGATTGTATCATTACACATGGAAATTATATAATTAACATGGTTTCTGCTCCAAACATGAATTTCAGAGAATCTAAAAGTTTTAAATATAAAGCTGAACCAAGGAGAGAAGCTGCCTGGGGAAATCTTAAAACTTACTCTGAAGGGATCTCCACGCAAAGATTGCACAAACATTGATGTCCCCGAACCTTTACCCTGAAGAAAAAGACCAAACAAGTTTTGTCAGATTTAGTATGTGCAGGGTAGGCGTTGAAACAATTCCTCACGAGGAAACAGGGTTAATCTCCCAAGTATTCAAATTCTCGTTGAAGTTCTTATCCTCCTATACTCATTTTGTTTTCTCATTTAGCAATTTACATCTTCAAGTGCTTCCTTCATTTACTAATGGTTGCTTTCGCGTGTGATTCCTTATAAAATAAAAGACTTGAAATGCAATAAAAACAATAAAATTGCCAAAAGTTCCTAAATTGGGAAAGATTGCAAGTTAGGTTTTGGAAGTGTTCACCTAAACTACTAGTTATTTTGAGGCCTGATATCTTACTTTTGCCACTACTCTTGTTAACATTAAGTGAGAGAAAATTGTTAAGTAAACAGAGTGATTGTTTAACCACAAAAGCAAAACATAAAAGAAAGGGAATCATTTGCATTTTAATATTTAATAAAGTAAGAAAATAAATATTAAAGAAAAACATTGATCAACCACCACCTTAGAGTTGAGCTAAATAATCTTCATATTTCAAACGGGCACAAGACGAATTCATACTATTCATTTCTTAAAAAGTTTGGTTCAAGCAAGCCAAATTTGATAATGAAACAATAAGAAGCTTCAGTATACCTCCAATGATACATCCTTCAACCGCCTCCCTGTACGAGCACAGCAAATACGAACTACATGTTCATCACAACTTCCACTTATAACATAATCCCTTCCATTCATGTAATAAGACCGAGTGTAGTTCTGCGAACTTCCAGTTGAAGCTATAGCAAAGTCCAGATGAAGTCTTCCATCAACTGCCAACAGTTGTTTAACCTGGCAATGATACCCTATGTTCTTAATGGAGGACTAGTAATGATGAAGGTCCAACATAATGCAAGTACCACAGAAGGTGGTCCCTATATGATGAACATGATAATTAAACATGACATGATGTACCGTGGCCCAAAAACTGAATTGAATAAGATATTATCAAGAGCAAGAGGTGCCGAAAACTAGCTATGATCACTAGATTATTCAAACTAGTGTAATTCCGTCTTTCTGATGAAACACTCTATGGTGGTTGCTTCTATTCTTCATACATATCAAAAAGACCTCAACAATTCTGCAGAATCGTGGTTCCTAGTTTTGTTCGCCTTTTCACTTGTAACTGCTCTATTTGCTGTCAGCTCATGAGACATATCTTCTGTGCAACTCTGACATCAGTCCACAATGTACATTGTTCTCCTTTTAGTTCTGTTTACCAGTGTGCCCATAATTTTCTATTCCCAAGAATTTATATTAGAAAATGCCTAGACAATCTCCATTCCACCACTTTGTTTAGTGACAGTTAACACTTTTAGCATAAGAAAATTCCCATGCATGAAACATTATTTACATCCTAAGACTGACTAGCATCAAAGCTACAAGAAACATCAATACACTGTAACCTTTACTGAAGTAAGGGGAATTTAGCACTTCGAACTCAAGAAAAGAAGAAGCTACCTCATTGTCAATGGCTGAAACAAGAAGAAAATGATCATCTGGAGAAAAGCAAACCATCACATTCCCTCGAGAGCTTGAAGCAGTATAACAAGGCTGATTTGGTTTCTGTCTCAAATCCCACAACTTAACATCCTGATCAAACGATGAAGTCGCGAAGAGAGATGGGGAATGGTTCGAAAACTTAACGACATTAATATGTTCACGATGCATATCAGCAAAAACCTGCAAGCGTCTTCCACTGCTAATATCATATAAAGCAACATGTCTGGAGTATCCACTTGCAAGAAACAGTTCATCTGTTGAGTTGACATGAACAGATGTCAACTGATCAAACTCGTCAAAGGTAACAGGAGGAACGTGGTAAATGCCTCTGCTAATTGTAGGTATATTTTGTACATCGTACAATCTAAGTGAACCATTATCTGAACCTGCAATGAGCTGAAACAGAACAACCAAGTGAGGGGATAGGAGAGAGTAATTTGCAAAATAGATACAATAAAAATGAATTACCATCAGATAAGAATCCTTTTGCTATAAAAATTTCCTACAGATAACAAACATATGGAGAAATCAAAATTCTTCAAATCATAAAAAAATCTTCTCAACTAAGACATGCATGTTTAACTTTCAATCCATTCATGAGATCCAGGGCCTTATTACCTATTGATGCTAAACAGAATTATATCCTCAACAAGGATGCCCCACTGAACCAGCAGCCCTGCTGGTAATAATGATAAATTATACAGCAAATGGTGAACAGAGCGATCAAATTAACTAAGTGGTCAGGTCTTGAATCAAAGGTAAACAGCAATGTAGGTATATTCTGAGTATCCTAAAAGTTCAGCATGCAGCACCAAATTCCATCGTATTTGGATTTAACAATTACATATCAAGTTTGGTTCTGGAAATACTATAACGATAAATTATAATGACCGCAAACTCACCCGCTCATAGACAAGATACCATAAAAAAATGTGCACGGGCAAGAAAGAATCAGCATTCCTTGTGTTAAAGAAAATTTGTCTAGCAAGCCCAAATACTACAGTTGATAATTGTGATCATATAGCATTCTGAAATTAAATGATAGTACCATAACCAAAATATGATAAGTAGATAGCAATAGCTTCGGGACATGTGCAAGCACCACGGTATTTTCCCACTATATGACACGCAAAAGTGGACTTTCAACACTAAATGTATATGTTTGCTAATAAATAGTGTTAAACCACTTTATCTTAAAGCTTAAACTATCAAAAAGTATGTGACTTATTATTTAAATATTGTCTTCAACATGCCATCTCATGTGTAGGTGGTCCATTTTTCTCAATTAAAGCCCAACACGTGCACGATCAAATGGTTGGTGGTGAGACTTGAACCCAAGATCTTTGCCTAATCCAATACCATGTTTAAATCACTTGATCTAAAAGCTTAAGCAATTAGAGAGGGTCGCATGAATATTATTTGAACATTTTTTTCAACAATTTTGCAAATGACATACCTTCGAAGGATACTTTTTGAGCCAACATAATCCCAGCACACTATTCATAGCTCCAAGTGACGGAATGTAACTAACAATCTTCTCACTCTCATGGTTTACAATAACCACTTCGCCATCCAAGGTCCCAAAAACCATAAGGCTCGATTCAGATGGATGGTACTCAAACTGCCTGGGACGAAAACTTCTCCTTTCATCTCTTGATACACTACTCAAAATAGAAAGAGGGCGTAAGGTAGGCCACGTGGAAGATCCCACTTTTGCAGCAGATAATGATCTAGAATAGAAATGTTGAGACTTTCTGGATGCATAAGATAACTTTTTCTTCGAGGTGTGTGTACGAGTAGGGTTTGCTCTTACTTCACGCTTCTGCAGAATACTAACCACGCTCTCTTTATTATTCATGTTGTATGGTAGGTATTCAAAATGGCGCCTGAAGATATCATTGGCTGTTTCCCTGTCAACCTTTTGAATGTGCAAATTATCAAGAATTTTAAGGTTTGGTAATGAAGCTATCATGTAATCTCTGTAGTGTTTCTCATAACAGATTGGTGATGGATGATGAGAAACATATTTCTTTGAGGCAGTGTAAGACATGTGCCTAGAGTTGGATGACCCGGGAGTGAATTGATCTTCATCTTGCATGTCCAGTGTGCCAAAAGAGATCTGGTATAACAATAACAAATTATAATGATTCTTAGTGGGGACAGTACTCCAAAGTTCTTCAAGCACTTAGAGAATGATGCATTCTTAAGAAGGTGTTCGTGATGGCATAAACCGAGAACCATTCGGAAATATGATTTTCCCCCCCTAAAAGTTGTAGTCAGAATCATACAGAAAGCTTTGTAATGTGTTAACATCTAAAAAAAAAAAGCTCATAAAGAAAGAAAAAAATGTTTTTTATTAAAACCATAGATTTCTAAACCCCAAGAAAAAGCAAAATAGTAGTATCGTGCCAATGTTATGCATGTTGAATTAGTTTGCCCAAAACATAAGAAGCCATTTATACCTCATTCTGCTGATCAACCAGCTCATTCCAACCAGATGGTATATCAGGCAACAGCTCCACCAAACCGAAGTCCTGACGATGACCTGAAAAGTCAACTTCACTGTCATCTGAAGAATCTTCAGTAGTGCTTCGATGATCATGATTTGCCTCATAATCATTCACATCTTCAAATTCTATGCCCGAGGGTAAATATGGGATTGCTTCACCATAGAGCGATGGTAATTCAATGTAAAGGCCAAAGTCCCTATGACCTGAATCAATGTCTTCATTTACTTTATTCCAGGATGACACAGGAGAGCTCCCTGTGTCACTGCATAACAAACAATTTTGAAATCGAAGTTCAACCAGCGAGGGGAGTTTGGATAGTGCTGCACTAGTTGTCCACAGATTTGCAATTCTTGTCTCACACAAAGAAAGGGATTTGAGATTTGGCATACAGGCAAAACAATCCTCTCGAAAACTTGTAAGTGAAGCACTGAAATCCAGGTTAAGTGTGTGCATCTGAACAAATTTCCCAACCATATTGAGTTTCCGAAAATGGGAGGACCTTAGGTTTAGCACTTGGCACGTTAAGCCTTGTTGAGAAAGATCCCTGAACAAGAAAGATCTCACGGTTATGAGTACACATAGCTTGAGTTATAAAATCCAATCTGGTGAAAACGCCAAATGAATTTGTAATACGACATTAAGGTATCTTCACGAGAAGCAAAGGAAAACCTGGAAAATAAGAGACCTTGTGTGTGCACAAGCGACAAAGTGAGACTGAGAAGGTTGAGGGAGGGCGAGGAAACGGAAAAACAGTAGATGTAGTGAACTGTAGCAAGTGTTAAAAAACTACAAACCAGTTGCTCAAGGTCAATTGTGCTGTATTTTCACAAGTGCACACATGGCACCAAAAGGTGCATTCTGGAAGGTGCCAAGGAACCATACAAGCTCACAACAGTAAGAGTTCTCATGAGGAACATGAGGTTGGGGAAACCCATCAAGGTCCCATCTTATCTTCTTATGAAAACACAAGGAAGTCCAACTACACAGCATCACAAAAGCTTACATTCATCCATTCTTGAGCACAAAACTAAAAAAGGTGCAAACTAACAAAATAAATGAGATGTCCTGATAAAAGAGTCACCCACGTGGCTAAAAGCTAATATTAGCATACAAGGGTACAGCATTTGTTAAGCAAAATGCACCGAGGACAAGGAAGTAGAGAATATGAATGAAGGATAATTTGGCTCAACAAAATTAGGATGAAATCTCTCCTCCCACATTGAGAAGATAAGTTAAGATTCCACTTGACAGTATAGTCAGCAATTGTTATATCCTCAAAGAAACAAGTGGTCCATTACTCTGATTATATAATGCCTTTTTTATTATTATATAAAAATACAAGATTCCGGAAATTTTAGCACTAGGCATGTATCCTTCTTTCCTCTAATAACTCAAAAATCACATGACTACCATAATTAAATAATACGTATCAAGCTTTGGTAATTATTATATGATATTATTCTATGTTTTGGAAGGCACAATATCCAAATTATCTGTCTGTTGAGAAAGTGGAAAGAAGGAAGTTTTCTTCATTGCCACAAAAAAAAAATCATGTAGGAAGGAGTAAAAGGCACAACCACATACAGCAAGAAACCCTTTCCAAATGAGATGTCCCTGATATCAACAACTCGAAGCTTTTTGTTGACAGCACGCAGCAATGATGAAACGCGTTCCCCACTCAGTGCACAAGAAGATCTATTTATCATGTCAACTGCATCAATCTCCGAAGAATCAATTTCCATCAATAGATCAAGAAGTGGGTAGAAATCAACATCCTTCAAGTCGTCCAACAAAACCACAAGGCTGGAAACCTCATGACGTGCTTTCTTGAGCTTAGCCTGTATCACAAGACAGCTTTACTAATCAAATATAATTTTTGATTTTCACCCATGGAAATGGATAGCAATAATTGAAGGTAGAAAAATCACAAAAAATTTATTAAAAAAGAACAATAAAGGATGTCAGCTTCCACGTGCAATTCAAGTTGAAAGGTAAACGTTAATAGGCATTGAATAAATACCTTTTAAAGAATCAGGAAACCTTTCACAACTAGAAGCATGGCTCCAGAAACACTAGAAACAATTTATAAAGATACAGAGAAAATGGCAATTCATAGGAAGTTGGGGAAAATGAGTAAACTTTTTGATAATGTGATTAAGATGTCAAAAATCTCTTATTTAATGTGCTTCCATTTAACATAAGTGCATGCTAAACATGAGAAATACATGTCAGTTTCACAGATAGGTGCAGACTAGGACATGATGGTAGAGAACGGGGTTAATGCAACTGCACAATTTTATAGTTATTCCTTTAACAAGACTGCTAGCTCATGCTCTCTACTTGATTTGCTAAACAATGCAGACCAGCAAAGATTCATAATGCCCTTGGTTTGGAAAGAATCACAATTTTTTTGTATTAAAATGTAATGCTTACTGAAAGCCCTACCTATGTTCTGACTTCACCTAAGAACCATGATTGATTAGTAAGGAAAAATGTTCAAGTCTAAGTTATACACATTGATGCTTGACACAAACAGATATAACCCCCCTACTCCAAATAAATGTGCTGCTAAACCCAATAATGTCTCAATTTTCAAATTGAGTATAATCTTTTGAATTCCGAAAGGATCATAGCAGGGCATCATATGAATTATTAAAAACACATGTCACCAATATTGCATCACTCGAAGTGTTAGCAGTCCAGACTTGTTTTTCTTGTTACCGAATAGGCAAGAAAATTAAATTTTGGACTGCCATAGAAGATAAACTAAAAAGTTACCAATTTGAAAAGATAAAGGAGGCCATTAACATACCAAGAAAAAGTGCTATCCATAAAAGTGGAGAAAACTGTCTAATGAATGTTATCCAAGAAAACAAATGGAATCGAATCAAGTCATCCAAAGATCTGTTTGTAAAATCTCCACAGCAGGAAAGAAAGGTAAAATATAAATACAAGTAAAAACTACATACTGGCCAAGTATAAAATCACCTAGAAAAAATCCCATGAATTCATCTGTGACATTACCAAGCAAGACAAATTAGTTATAATAGCATGCACCCCCATACACTACTTACAGTAGGGTGATACATTACACGATTATTATGACTAACTCACTTGAGGAAAAGCAAATATAATGGAGGAGCGTGTACAAAAATCTCCAACTTAATTTTAGATTCTAGAATGTAATATGACATCAATCCTTGGATTCCATTTGAGCTATTTTTGACAGAGTGAAGGTATAAGTAATTAACAAAATCTATGGATGAAAGACTGACCATTCAACTTCCATGTATCAATGTGCTAACTGCTATACCAAGAGCCAAGTTTAGGCCACCAGACTTGTATGTGAATGAAGTGTTTATTCATTACAAATCATTTATAATTTCTATCATTAAGCACCAAAAATTCAGCTTCCAGACGAAGATAAAATAGGATAGCTTTAGATATCGTACTACCCAACAAAATAAGTCACATGTACGAGAAACCTTTCTTACCAAGACACATCTTTGACTAGTCACAAGCTTAATCTGAGCAATAAATTCCTTTCAGTAAAAATCATCACTATTCCTTATCCCATCTCTAGAGCTATATAATCTTGTCATTAAAAATAAACAGAATATATACCATTGGACATAGTCATATGACCAACCCCATTGTAGATATAAAAGAAACCAGCTGAAACAACTGAATAAAAGTTACTCATAAATCCTTCTACAGTTTTGCATTAGCATATATACCCTGTACTGTAATTCCATAAAGACTCTAAAGACACCAAAAACAGTTATATGTTGTAAGTTCATTCATGCCATAACGAATCTCGTGTAAACAAAAGGATGGAATATGGATGATAAACCTTAAATACTTCAGCCAGAATTGCTTTATTTGGCAGAATTCCTTGCTTCTTGCATACATCGAAGTACCTGAAAATGGTGCCGCAATATAAACAGTTCAACAGAAATTTCATTGTAAGAGGGGTAAGCCATGGTTGTTTCAGCATAAAAGTAAAAGAAAATCATCAAATTCTTTTTTATTAAGCACTTACTAAAATTAGTGCCCATAGTATTTTCACCAAAATAATATTAATCATGCAACAACTAATACCATATTTTACAGGATTTAAAGCTACAATTGGATATCCCAAGTTATAAACATCACAAAATTCAGAGGTGGAAATTGAAAGAAAGAACAGTAAAACAGCATTCCGAAATTGAACGTTATGCAACGTATCCAACAGATCACTGGACAGGTGATTTTCAATTGCAGAGAACATTTCAGCACCTGACTCCTAATCTTTTTTCTTAATTCATCAAATCTTAATAAATATTTTGCCACAGATCTCAATCATCAGTAAATAATATATACTTCAATAGCAAAATAATTAAACAAACATGCCGCATAAGAACTTAAAAATCACCTGAATTAAAAATAAAAATAAAATGAATTCCACAGTGAAATTAGGTCGAAAAGTTCACCTTTTCTCTAAGGTGCCGATATCAGTAGCCATAGAAATGTTTCAGTGATTTGATTTCCGTCTGCTATTCGAGCATTGAAATGTTTTGCAGGCACATATAAATTAGGCTCTCTTCCTTGTTTATATAGCGATTAAAATTTATTATAAACAAATTTTTATTTTATTATTCATTATTATATTACTCTCTCTCTCTCTCTCTGATTATTAACTAATATTTGCATTTTTTTATTTCTTGACGGTTATAATTTATTGGGTCGTTTTCCAACCTTTTGCGAAATATACAGTGAGCTTTTTAACACCAGACAACTTTGTCTTTTCGAAGATATAAGAACTCGGTCTTTCATCATTTTGTCCATGTAAAATGACGAATTTATTGCCTCTTTAAATAAGTACAAAAAAGCAACTAAAAAAAAAAAAATTGTAGCAAGAGTCCTAAATCTCTTCAAAATGAACAAATAAATCATCGTCTCCAACCACCCTATTTCACAACTCAATCCATCCCCACGACTCCACCGTCGACATGTCATTACGGTTGACATATCAATTCTCCCAACTGGAGTAATTATGGAGTGTAGGAGGGCTATGCGCCCAACCTGAATTATTAAAATTTTTCACGCACCATACGCGTAACGAGTCAATGTCAAAATCAGATGACCAAATGAAACTATGTCGCGTTTATCTGACAAAGAGATTATGACATTCTATATCACTGTATCAACTATGTTACATTTTCGTTGACGCACATGCAATCATAGCACAACGTTGTGAAAGATGATTGACAATTAGTAGAGTTTGATGCGCTAGCGACGATGACACATGTATCGAACCAATAGTCGTATGGCATTCTCGCAAACAATAATAAAATTGACTTGCAAGGGGGTCTATGATGCTAGCTTAATAGCAATACATTTGTTGAGTGGTCAAAAGGACGGCCAAATTGTCCATCTCCACGTTATTGGTTGTTCCAAGTTACACAATATCACGTCATCATGCACGCAACTAAAGTCTATAAAGAGGCCAATATCCTCCAAATAGAGGGAGTTCAATTCACAACATATATTTCCCAAAAAAAAAACCCATCACCTTTGAATAAACTCTCAACCCAAAATCTCTGTTTACCTAATTCACAATATAACTCACCGTCTGTCAAAAAGTTCTCTACCACCGCATTCCACCTTGTTATATCTTATCGAGAACCAATGTCTACATCAATAATAACCCTTCTATACGTTGCAAATGTAGATCAATTTATCCTTTAATTAAAATATCAACTAAATTAGTAAAATATGAACACAAAAGCATAGGAAAAATTAAAGTTAGGGTCTCCAACTTTTGCTCATAGAACATTTTGGGTCCTTAACCTTTAAAATAGAGCACTTTGGTAGACAAATAACCGTCATTTGTTTCACAACAGTGAGACAACGACTTAACATCATCCAACTATCTACTAAGTTCTACCTAATTTACCCAAAGCATAAGCATTTACCAGTTCCAGTCAAGCCTGGATAATTATTCACAAATTTTAAAGCAGAAACCAAATCAAACTCAGTAAAAGTAAAGCAAAAGCTGTATCGTTAACATTCTATGGAAGGATAATTGTAACTTGACTCCACTGGACAATGGAAAAATGCCACCCGACAACAATATAACCTTCTAAACCGATTTATACACTGTTCTAATCACTGCGAACCGATTATAGTTTTCTTTCAAAACAAACTTTACCACACCACCTGGTTCTGGTTTGGGACATCCTTGAAAGAACAAGCATTCTAGTCTCAAATAAGGATGCATGTCCATGGCATATCAAGTAAGATAGTCATCTGAATTTTAAACCATGGACCCCCTAAATTTTCCTTCCAATCGTCAGACTGCAACAGAAAGCACGGGGCAAAACACAGCCGAACATTCCAACATATACACAAAATTGATAAATGAGCTTAACCTGACTTCTAGCAGTAATTAAAGCAAAGCTAGTAAGATACTGATATCTAAACACAGATCAAAACACAAGGAACAGCAAAGCTTAATGAGGTCTGTCTACATCTTCTCAACAAAGTGAACATGAACCAAAGTTACATAATCGTATTAAGATTATAGAATTATAAGACAGCTAATATGAGAATAAAATCCAATCTAACAGAACACGTCACACTGGAAACAGTAGCCATAACATGGGACTAAAATGACACCGGGAGAACCAACAAAGGACCTTTTTCTGCCACTTCTCAACACATTTATCGGCCCTTTTCAAAATTAATGCGCGATCTACCTGATGTTTCGTAACCATCACGCATAGAGCCTGCACCAGCCTTCAAGGTTCCTCCAGTACCAACTTTCTCCATGGCCTTCTTCCCTTTCTTCACCTCTGTCAAAAACTGATCCAAACCAAACGGATCAGCTTCTTCAGCCTCTCTTTCAAACTCAACTGGCCTCTCCCTTTGACCTGTTCTTTCAGATGTTCCTGTAAATGCCTTGTCAGGCTTAAAACGATCTGTTTTCATTAACTTGTCCAGCTGTTCATCCGCACCTCCATACACCTCATCATCTGCATCCTTCTTCGGTCTGTACAGAGTAGTCATAGTTGATTGAGCAGTAAATAGGCCCTTATCGTATATGTTGTAAGCATCATCGGTGGCAAAACCAGAATCCATCCCTTTCTCCTGGTTGAACAGTCTCTGGTCATACATAACTTCACCCCCTCTCCCAGCTCCCGCGGAGGCCATTCCAAGAGCGACTTTCTCACTAATATCACGATCTCTATCCCTCGTAATTTTGCTCTTCTTCCCCATTGCAGCATCTTTCGCCTCCAGCCTTCTCTCCCTTTCCCTCTCACGGCGCCTCTCCTCACGAATTTTCTCCCGCTGTAACCTCTCCTCTCTTTCCTCCTTTGACTCCTTGGGGGCATCTCTCACACGCTCATAATCAACACTCATGTCATCACTGTTGATTGCACCCCTCTCAGAAGGCATTTGTGCTGCAGCAGCAGGAGCAACACCAGTTCTCTCCGATCTCGCCTTCCTGGCCAACTCCCGCAGCTCCATCTCTTTCTTCTCCTTTTCTTTCATCATCATCTCCTTCTGAACCTTTGACCTCATCGCAACAGCCTCTCTTGCCTTCTGCTCGGCAACATACAAAGCCTCTGACAATTTAGCAAAATTGTCATTAATCTGAACATCCTGAAGCCCCCGACCATCAGCAGCCAGACGTTTGTCAAGAGGTATTGTATACCCCTTAGGGTTCTTCCAGTTTGAAATACATGGTGGAATCTTCCAGTCCTGCTGATCCTTCACGGTCACAGGACGAGGTGGAGAATGCATAACCGGCACTGGTGGAGAACCAGATGCCTTTGGGACCCTCTTATGTTTAAACTTGGGTGGCTCCAAAGGGTCCACTGGCATTTCAACCATTCGGATAATTCTTTCCTTGGCTCCTGAATTAAAGGCTGCTGATTGTTGTGATGGCTTGTACTTAATAAACTTAGAATCTGAAGACTGTGTTTGAACATTTTTTGGCTGTGCAGCACTCAATCTCACATTCACAATCTTCTCAAGTGCAGCCTTAGTCTCCTGTGTCGTCTCATCAATCACTTTCTGCATCTCATCCACATCCATCTCCTCCTCTTTCTCATCATCTTTCACAACCTTCGGGACCAAATCCCTATGCTGTGAATACACAATCTTCTTTGAATTCTCATCCTGCCTCACGATTGCATCATATCTCACATTCCCGTGCTCATCTACTGTAACAGGCAAAGTCTTTGAACCGGGATTCTGAGACTTACTCCTTCCCATACCAAGAGGGTACTGTGCATAGTGGATTTCTGGAAATGCTCCTCCATCGCCAAAGTCTTCAGGCTTCGAAGGTTTAAATCCAGCCCGTTTCAAGTATGGCGGCACTTGCTTGGGCTTGACCATCTCAGATATTTCAGCCTCAGATGAGCTGTACCTCTGTTTGAACCAAGGATCATTAGAGTGGTCATAATGTGTAGTCCCCGACGACTTTACTGGTGGAAGAAGCTCCTTTAATGCAGCCATCACCCCTTCCTCACACTAAATCTGCAAAAAGTTAAAAGATAAAAAATAAAAACACAAAAACTCCACCAGATTATATTTTAGAAACCAAAATATAAGAATCCTTTAAAATTTCTGTAAATGCAATACAACAGCACGGACATTTTCTTAAAGAGCCCTTTTTCCATGGTCAATGAAATAAGGCCTTCCTTTAAATTGTTTATCGAACGTGTGGTCAAAAATTTCAATTTAACCCCTTTAGAGAAAAAAAAATTACTACTCAGCCTTTAGCTTTTTCACTACAGAAATGGTTGTACCTCTTACCCCAGTCCCCAACCCCCACACGGTGTCCCCCCCTTCTGGACCCTCACCCCTTCTGTGAGCTCCGGAAACTCCATATAAGAAATCCACAAGGAGGTGGGATAACCTAGTTCATGGTTCTGTGATTGTTTTCGACTTTATTACAAGATATAAAGACACACTCAGGGGCGGAGCCAGAAAACGATGTTAGAATGGGCTGAAACTTAAATTTTTTTGAATGAACTCACGCCATAAGAAATCGAGTTTTAGAGGCTATTCTCGTGACACGATAAAAAGTATACGGAACTCAATGAAATCAAAAAAAAAAAAAAGTTTAAATGTCTCATATTAAGATATTCCACTAAATCTTTGTATTTTTTTTTACCAAATAGAAAATTGATGCTTGCCTTAAAAAATATAAATTGACCGAATCATGATAGAAATAAGCAAAAATACATATCCATCAATGAAAATTTAAAAAATCACTCAACAAGTACTTTCTAGTAACTTTGAAGACCAATCTTTCCAAACAACTAAAAACTTGATCGAAACACGATAATCGTAGCGTCTTTAATACAATTTGAATAATTGAGCATTGGACTTGGATTGAGATTCAAACTAAAGCTGGGTTAATGCTAATATTTGGGTCAAAATTCTACAATTTCTTCTTAAGGTTTTTATATGGGCTGGGGGCAGTGTTGGGCTGTAAGAGTTGGGCTAATGCTAATATTTGGACCAAAATTCTACAGTTACCTCTTCTTTTCCTAAGGTTTTTATATGGGCTGCCCCATTACCTCTGCCCCTGAAGTCCAACCACATTATTCACACACAAAAGTAACAAAACCCTTACATAATAGATCAAAAATTCACAAGTTCATGCCCAAATACTAATGTGGCTTTCATTATAGTTCTCGCTATATGCCAACGTCTCTGAGGAAAGAAGGAGCAACTGGTAACATTGAATCAACATAGAAATTTTTAAACCCTTTGAGAACTCTAGGGTAAGATTTTAAGGTTAAATGAAATTGGGATTCTAGTTTTCAATTTCTCTGCAAATATTGACGACAGGGAGGGAATGAATGGGTTTTGACTTGGGCTTAAAACTAAAACAAAACATTTATTTTGAGAGATTGGTGGGATGGCTAAGAGCTCTTGGACTGAAGGTGGGCTATTGCTAAGCTAATGGGCTAAATTTTCATTTTCATTTTTGGGCAATTATTTTGGATATGGGCTTGGGCAGCCCTGGACTATAGCCCAGTGCTGCCAACCCCCATATCCGCCCCAGGACACACTAAGAGGCCTATACAATCTGTAGCATCAAGAAAATTCCATTTTTATAGACATGCTTGTAAGATGAATGCTGCACAAAAATACTGTTCATGTTTAATATATCGTGTGAAGTTTCAGGAATTCTTTATCAGGAGAAAACTTTTTTATAGCTTTTTGTTATATTTCCTTCAAATCTTGATAATGAATGTTATCCTGCTCTGCCAGGGACTTAATCACGGCTGATGGCATTACACGGGGCCTGAAACTTTCACTGTCGGGTTTAATTCTTAATTAGATCTGAAGTATTGGTGGGGATGGTAAGGAAGATGGTGTTTTAGGAATATCAATTAGAAGGAATAGAATATAAACAGCAAGGCCTTCTTAAAAGACCTGCTACTCCTTTATGAAATAGTGGCCCAGTATTAGTGTTTAAAAAAGCAGCTATTTAATTTCACTTAATTTGCAAAATTCAATAACTTGTAAAGATTTATTTATAACTCAAACAGCAACAATTTGGGAGAAGCAGAAAGAGACCAATTTGACCATATTAAGAAAGCAAAATCACCAAAATTTTGAAAAATACAAAAGACCGTGGTTCAAAAATCAACAATTGCAAATTTGCAGTTAATAAGGAGAATAAGCATACTGCAATATCCTTGGCGTGGGGAAGGGAGAGAAAAAAAAAGGAGCTTATCCAGAATTTTGAAGAATCGAAAAAAAAAAAAAAGTTCTTACCAACCATCAGGGACAGAACTAATCAAATATTAGAGTAGGTTAAAACCTGGAAAAAAAAATTATAATGACCTATAACCAAGGAAATACAAAATATGAGATTTACTTTAAATCACTACGCAAAATTTCATAAATACAATACCATGTTTCCCAACATCCGATGTTAATGACAAATTCAGCCAAAATGAATTTTTCCAAAGAAAAAGCTCAAAGCAACAATGTGTAAACCCCGCAAGAGATAATACAAAGCTCTCACAAAAAAGAGAGCACGAAAAATAGATATTCAGAAGTAGTTTCAAATAAGTTGGTAAAAACTCGGACTATAAAAGCTTTCCCAAATGTAACATCACTGCTGACAAGAGTACTGAATTTTATCATACTAACACATTCAATTTCAAACTACAACACAATCTAGAAGGAACAAGCATTCAGCCAACAAATAGTATCCTTCGTTAATATTCGGCCAACAATTGTAATGAATCAGACCATTAAACAAATCTCCATTAGTTAAAAGTTCAAATTACCCACACGAATGCAAATATAGTGTCGTGACGAGTCGACATGAAAGCTATAAACACATAAATACTGTATATATTCTCTATTGTTGTACACCTGCAGGATTGCTAATTTTTGTCTTAATTTTGAGTTCAGACCGGCTTGGTTTTCTTAGGCTAATAGGCTCCAAAATTAAATCCTCCTCTTCTCCCAGCAAACAAATTTTAATTTTCGACATTCATATATAACTTTCTGAGATTTATACAAAATTTGGGGTTGGATAAATCTGAAAAACAATTTAAAAGACTTAAAATTGCAATACATCTGAAAAATTAAAAATAACCATTACATCAGCTAATTGCAAAGTTGAGGTCTTCAATTTGGAGGATACCCCACTGCATCTTGCTCCTAGATATTTCACCTATTACACTCGAGGGGCAGCCAGTTTTTAAGGCGAGGAGAAAAACATAAACAACCGCATAAAAAATTTCAGAGAAAAGTTGTCGAAAAATCACTGTTGCTAGAGGAATTATTATCATCGAAAAACTACACGACAAATAAATAAATTACAATGAGTTGAGTTGAAATTAAATCATTCGCAACATTCAGATCGAGTGCGATTTCAACGTATAATGCCCATTCTTATTAAAAAAAGACATAAAAATCTGATACTACCTTCAAATTTTGTTGATGAAGAAGCTGAGTAGAAATCACTGCAACACAAGATAAATTGGTGCCAATGAATATCAGAATACGTCTCCCGTTTTGCCTCTCCCCTAATCTATACCGTAATACCGATGAAGAAAACCTTAGCCGACTGTCCCCCTTTCCTTATTGACTGGAGCCCATTTTTGTAATTAAAATAATAATAATAATAATAATAATAATAATAATGCATTTGGAAGATGTGTGATTTAAGTAAAAAAGGGTAATTGGCGCAAAACGTCATTACCTTTGCATGTTTTTGTGTAAAACGTTCATACATTTCGTTTTTTTAGCTAAGAACGTCCATATCTTTACCTTTTCTTGCGTAAAATGTCATTTTCGTCTCTTTTTGACAATTTTTCCCTTCTATTAAAATAAAACAAATACAAAAGAAAAGAAAAATAAAGAATAAATTGCAATTATGGATTCAAACTTTTAAAAATGTGCAAATTAGTCACAAAACGTCCATACCTTTCACATTTTTGCCGTAGAACGTCATTTTCGACTCTTTTTGACCATTTTACCCTTCTATTAAAATAAAACAAATACAAAAGAAAAGAAAAATAAAGAATAAATTGCAATTATGGATTCAAACTTTTAAAAATGTGCAAATTAGTCATAAATATGAAAAAATCATCACCCATAAACCGTTACCTTTGAAGGCAAAATCCCCAACCCCCGATCACATTGGTGCCGGACCAACATACCACCTTGAAGTCCTCATTATCCTCTTCACAACCCACCCAACCACCAACTCCAACTCTGGCAGATTTGACCTGAATCGAGCTTCAAACTTCACCGCTTGAAATGCGGTCAAACGTCGGAATCACATCGTCCGGCCACTTCCTGGCCGAACATACCACCGACCAACTCCCCCTACTCAAGATAACCTCGACCATGCAAACAATTTAGCCCATACAGCAAGCATAACATCTGAATTTCAAATTGAAAGCTGCCTGTTGCGATTGTCACTACACCGCACCAGTTTTCCTCTAATTCAGGCGCCGCCGTGATGACCCATGGTGGCAGAATACCTGTGCTGGGTGCGCCATCACCGGCGCACCTAGCCCAACTATGAGTCCCCTTCAATTTGGCTCCAATCATCTTCAATCTGGGTCTGGAATGTTCGCTGATGCGAACTCGCGATTGGACCGTCTTTGCATTGAAATTGGTAGTTGTTGGTTGCTTGTTGAAGGAAATTGTTTACATAGGTAGCTTCAACTTGATGAGGGGAGTCGACCAGTGGTGGATTTCGGCTAGTTCGGTGGCCAAACGGCAAGTTGGGGTGTTTGGTCGATTTTCAGGCTGCAATTTTCGAATTTGATTTCCGGCCAAATTACAATGAGTTATGGAGATTTCTTGGTATGTAGTTGTAGAGGGTAATGGGGAGAACGTGTTGGGAC